AAACCCAAAGAAAAAAAAAAAAAAAAAAAATCACCTGACCAGCATGTTTTCTTAAATGTACAAAATAGAATAAAGCTCCTAAAGCTGAATTTTAGCCTTCCATTTAGTATTGCACAGTTGTACAGGCTCCTCTTCTACTGAAATGACTTACTCTGATTTCACTGTACGCTGTGAGCTTCTCACAATGTGGATTAGAAATTACAGCAAGTCTGATAAAGCCTGACTCATTTTCTGCATCATATATTGTAGCTCTTTCCTCCCCAGCCTAACTGTTCCTTGCCCACCCCTTTCATTTTTGGGGGATTTTGGTTCTTTCAATTATGAAACTCAGCATCACATGAAGACTGTAACTTAGGGTAGCCTGCTTAGGAGGAACGCCCACAACTGACATCAGGACTTCAACTGACATCCACCCTTTCAATCATGAAGTTCAACATCAGATGTAGGCTATCACCTGGAGTAGCCTGCTTAGGAACGCCCACAGCTGACATCCACCCATCAAGATATTATATTTGCAGAACTCCTCCCACGAGCTGGCTCATTGCTTGCATCAGAGCTGAGGGCTTTTGAGAGGGGTATTGGGGCAAGTGCTGTGATGTTTTCAGGAAGCTCTGTGTACAGCACCCTTCCCACCATCCATGATCTGCCCATATTACATAAAGGAGCATAGAGACCTAGTGGTGAGATCACTGGGTCTAAAATAATGCATGTAATGATAACAGACAGGTTCTATATAAAACATTTCATTAGCATGTCAAGAAGGAATTAGGAGGGAAGGAGGAAACAGGGAAGGCAAAATATAATTAAGCTTCAGTTTAAATTCACCCTTGCTACAAATGCTGCGGCATTGAGATCTCATTTGCTCACTTGATCTCTGGCAAGTTAGGGGCAGGCAATCCCAATTCTGATCAGATAGCATAGCATGGGGGACTGATCAACACCATGAGTTGCATGATGTCGCTGGTAAATGGCTGTCAGTCTCCAATGCTGACTACTGGACACCCGTAGCACGGACAGAAGTCAAACATGTTGCTATGCACACATCAAAGCTACATGTGTTATATGGCTGTTATATGTTTGTAGAGAAGTTCTAGGGTGAGCTTCCACTTTAACTATCGTTGAGAAATAGTGTTATCCTCTTGAGTGTGTTGTCTGGCCAAGGTGTATGATTCTCAAAAGTACATAAATTACAAATTCTTTAGCAGAAAAGACAATTCACATTTCAAATGTGTATTTAGATATCTTAGGAGACTCTAATGAATATAGATCTACGAATCTATGGTCACTCGAGTCCCTCTGATCAAAAGCTGACCATACACTGTTTTACACTCTCGATGGATAGCATGGATAGGGGAATCCTCCCACCGATGTATTGTATTCTGACAGCAGCAGATGTGCTGCTGTCACAGTACTGAAACAATGTCTGCAGCTGATTGAACAAGATATAATGTACCAACAAAAAGTTGACTGAACAAGAGATTGAAAAGGGGGGATCTTGACGGGGCCACACACTGGTCGAATATAGGCCGAGTCAGCAGGACTTGCCCAAACTTCAACAAGTGTATGGCCAGCTTTAGAAACTAAACTGAATCATGCCGACTAGTATAAGGCTAGAGAACAAAAAGTTTCAAAATGGTTTCACTTTAATATAAAAAAAGGCACAACAAAATCACACAAGGAATATAATGTAAATGCATTTTATTGCAAAGAATATAAAAGATATATTAAAAATCACAACCTTTTCACAACATACCAGGTCAGTCAAACTGGATTAAACAACACAGGCCAAACAAGATACCTATATAAATATGTGCACAGGTTAATCGTCCTGGATCACATACATGCAAACAACACGTAAGATGTGTGTAACATGCTACACAGCATTTCAGTCTCACACGTACATTCATTAACAGGCAACACAAAGTAAAAGCTAAACGTAATTTGTCCTCTGCCAGAGCTCCTGGTCTATAGAGACAGCTATCTGATCTGCCAAGCAGGATGTTCAATAATTAAACAAAAGCGCAGTAAGATTCATACTCTGTCCAAAAAATTACTAGAAGATGGGCTGGGAAGTTGCCCAATGGGAACTTAAAAGTATTCATGACACTGATTAAGTTCATGTACTTTAGGAAATACCCGGAAATTAATTTCTCACTATACTTTTGAAGCTCCACATTTGAGCATGTTTTAAACTATTGCAAAATCAATGTGACGGTTTATATAATTCTTTATTACTAGTGTCTATATCTGTGACATATTTTCAGACTTTGTTCTTTTCCTTTTTTTTATACCTTTGTAAAAGATTATGTAAAAGTTCCCACTACCAGAGCTATCACTGCACGTCATACCCCCACCTGGCCATCTCCTTCATGCTATGGAATTTTGTTTTTCCACTGTTCTATTTATCTTTACCCTCCAGTCTTTTTACTAGTTTTTTGCTTCCCACCATAGTATTAAAGAACTCAATTTAAAAAAACAAAACTTTTCTCTAGGGGATGGAATAAAGCAGATATACTCAATTGATGCTTAATCCTATGACAGTTGGCACTCCCCTCTCTCTCCCACTTCTGCGGATGTGGATTGTCCCTCGGCATCCTTACGTCTAACGCAAATCAATGGACCTGCATTAGATGTGATGATGTCAGTAGTCATTAGACTGCTGGAGCCAAGGGGAGAAGAGGCTGCGGGGTCTGTTCTGATGACATGACATTTTAAATAAACGATCACTTTGGACTTTATTACTCTTGGTGTTCTGGTGACATTCATCTACTATCATGGTATAGCAGCCAGGCAGGATAGACAATCAGGTGAGTATATCTGCTTTATTCCATCCCCTAGAAAAAAACGAG